GGTAAATTTTGGGCCGGAGCTGGTCGTATCTCAAAAAATACGTAAGTAGAGGCACGTTCGTAAGTAGAGGTAAATTTTGGGCCGGAGCTGGTCGTATCTCAAAAAATACGTAAGTAGAGGCGTTCGTAAGTAGAGGTACCACTGTATATGGCATTTACTATGTGTTCCCTGTAGAGAGCAGATAGGAGGCAAAAAAAGTGAGCTTCCAGAACATAAGACAAGGAAGATTTTTGTTGTAAGTCTAATATATTCAATAAGTGAGTTGGATATGAAACAAATTCCATTGATATAATTAAGATTTTATTTATATCTAACATTTCAGTTTGATTTTAAATATTCTTTAAGTACAACTCTTAAAGATCCATCAACTGGTCCATTCCAGTTCTAATCTCTGAGTCCCACACACTCCAATCTTTTAATCCTCTCGGTCTGAGTTTTGTATAAGTCTCAGAAGTCAAAGAAATAGAAAATGCAGGCATTGCTTAGGATTTCATGCTTCATTGTCTGCCAAATAATAAACCCTGCATTCCCTTAGGTTATACTCACCTGGGTCATATGAATCCATGAAGCCAAATGGGCCATAATCTATGGTTATGGATAATAAGCTGAAATTATCACTATTACATACTCCTAAAAAATAAAGCAACATAGCTATCAAAATAGCATAATATTTTATTTTAGAAGTGCTAGCAAGGAGACTTCTTCAGGAGCAATTTGGAAACCAGATCTGGCCCCTCATTTCTTAGCTAAGCAGCAGCTTATAAGATTAGCATCAGACCTTCCATATTTGTTACAGACACTCTTTCGTGCATGTGCTCTTTCCATTTGATGTAGGTATCACCTTTTCTCCAATTGTTCAAAGGAGGCCCTACTTCCTTAGTGGATGTGGAGCTATAAACATGTCAAAAATGGGGCTTCCTTTCATTTTCTTCAGAGGAACTACAGCCTCCTCTTTCTCATTTTCCACAATGCAGCTTGAATGGAAAGGACAAGCTAACCATCTGCTATGGAGTCCTGTGTAATTACAATCAAGTAACTAGTCTGTGTTTTGAAAAGCCACATGACAGAGGATTGGGAACGGTCCCAGAGCTGAATCACAACGCTATCTTTCCTGTCCGTGTAATTATTTAAATTCTAAGACAGAAAAATGCATATCATGACAACATATCATAGGGATCAATGATATCATATTATAAGGTGGGGGAGGTCCAAAAATAAATTCTGAATGAGGAATACTATTTTTGCAATGCTCCAGGTTCAACAACTAACTCCTTTTATTAAGATATGCTCTTCAGTAGCTTAGAAGGGACTACATTCCACTTTTGTAAAATACCCACTGTTTTATTTTTCTAACTTTTCATGACTTAACTTAGGTGATTTTCACAGTAGCAGTTTCTACCCTCCCAGAGCAGTATGAATCTGACCCTGTCTTCACTTCTGCCTGTTTTAAAGGACAGACACTATGAGCCAATCGGTGCTCATTCTCTTTCTATTCACTGACCAATAGGAGAACGCCAAGAATGTCAGGATCCCACCTGAGCTACCACTGGTCATGGAATAACAAAAATCCTTTCACAGTTCTTCCATGCAACAAGGAAGTGAAATAAATTGTTAGAGCTCTCCATGGTTTTCTTCACATGTATTTGCTTATTTGTGGGTGTTTGTCTAATGGTTTCCAAAAAAGCAAAAATAAAAAAGCTGAGGAGTTGCTTTGAAGACATAGGAAGGAAGATCAGTTGTAAAGAAATGTAAACAAAGGCACTGAAATCTTCCAAAGGCTTCCTGGCCACTATTCCTGTTACATTTAAAAGCCCTTTTGATGAAATTATAGCATGGCTGTATTGCTCCAATTCTGCAATCAGGCCATTTCCTCAATACATCTGACTATGGTTGAATGTTGCTATAGGTCCTGGATGGAAGAGGAAGGAGGTAAGTTCTAACCAAGACAGAGAGAAGAAATATATATCAGGTATAGGGCTCTGACCCTCTACAGGGGCAATAAAGGCTTGATTCAGTCAATCCATGTATTAACTGAGCTCATACAGTATATTAAGCTAAACTGTGATTGGTTTGGTTTTGGATTTGTACAATGTGTGAACCCAGCTATGGTGGTTTCTAAGCTTTGTTCCACACACTATGGCTAAAACAAACCACAGTTTGCTTTGATGTATGAACCTGACCCTGAGTCACTGTCAATATTACAATTCCCCACCCTCACTCCTTAATGTGCTTCAGTAATGAACTCTGTCAGGGGATAGGCTTTGGCACAATACAGCACCTATCTGTGGGTCCCACCAACTTTTAACCAAAAGGCAAAAGGTTATGCTATTCAGACCAAAAAATACAACCCCCCTTTAATCTCACCATGAGCGAAGCCTACTGACATCCACAAGGCAATCAAACGTGCCGTCTCAGACACTACTTGAGAGAAAAATGCCTAAAATCAAACACAGTTTTACCTTCAGTGTATAAATACAGTAGTTATATACTAAGGATATTTAGATTATATTTACTATATAGATAAAACTGTTGTTGGAAAGGGAATCAAAAATGGGGAAAATAATGCAGAAAGAATTAGTTTAAAAAAAGGTTCTTCCATGTCAACACTGTGGGGAGGAAGAGCATGAGAAAGAAATCAAAGAAGAAAAGATTGTGCATCACTTACACATCTCTCAAATGCCATCTACTTTGATCAGACTACAAGCCTTCTGGATAGAAACAGTGTCATTTCTATATTCGTTATTGCTAAATACAAAGTAAACTATACATTAGACTAACAAATATACAGTGTTACATTAAGTTGACTTTTTAACTGGAAGATGAAGGGGGGAAAAAAGCACAGATTTGATGCCCAGAAATGTATGGGTTATATAATTTGCATCAACATTTACAACTAACATTACAAAAGATTTAAAAAATGCATAGTTGCGTTTTTTACAAATGTTTATTTGGACTAACACAAGTGTATATGGAAATAATAAAGGCTTACTTACCAGATATTTATTTGAATAATTCATGTTTACTTTTGGAAAGTGTTCTTTTATTACCATATCTAGCAGCATCCTGTATCACAAAGTAAAAGTTTCTTCTATCAAAGAAGAATTTGAAATATCACTGAAATTAATATTTAAACTGAACCCTATTTGATGCCTAAGAAGGCTAAATTGAACTGAAGAAAAGTACCTACTGTACCTTTCAGAAAGGGATTTTATCTGTGCTCGCATGTAAGATGAAGACAGTATTTATTTTAATCATGTTCATTATTGAACAAGCTAACAACAAACTGAAGTAAGACTTGTAGAAAAGAAAAGAAATTGCACTATCTCATCCAATGGAGGGGAGGAAACCTTGAAAATCTCTCTGTGCAAATACAACTCTATCTCATCAGAAAAGCTGGCATCTGATGTTACGTGTGAATTTGTAATAATGCTTTATAATTTAAGAAAATTAAGTGAATGTCAAAGGAAGAGGTTACTGATTTTCCTTTCAATTTGGTAGCTGTTATTTGGGATATATAGTGGGGCAAAAAAGTATTTAGTCAGCCACCAATTGTGCAAGTTCTCCCACTTAAAAAGATGAGAGAGGCCTGTAATTTTCATCATAGGTATACCTCAACTATGAGAGACAAAATGGGGGAAAAAATCCAGAAAATCACATTGTCTGATTTTTAAAAAATTTATTTGCAAATCATCCCCATTCATTCTTTCCCCATTCATTCTTTCCCCATTCATTCTTTCCCCATTCATTCTTTCCCCATTCATTCTTTCCCCATTCATTCTTTCCCCATTCATTCTTTCCCCATTCATTCTTTCCCCATTCATTCTTTCCCCATTCATTCTTTCCCCATTCATTCTTTCCCCATTCATTCTTTCCCCATTCATTCTTTCCCCATTCATTCTTTCCCCATTCATTCTTTCCCCATTCATTCTTTCCCCATTCATTCTTTCCCCATTCATTCTTTCCCCATTCATTCTTTCCCCATTCATTCTTTATTTGGTAGCTGTTATTTGGGATATATAGTGGGGTTTTTAAGTGGGAGAACCTGCACAATTGGTGGCTGACTAAATACTTTTTTGCCCCACTGTATATCCTCCATTACTTAGTAATTCTGTGCACCGCCTAAGGAAAATACATTCAGCTACAAATACATGCACTAAATGTGCTGTATCAGCTACAAATACATGCACGTAATGCACTGATATAATGTGTTTAAAACGTATCTAACAAATCTTTCACTGACTCACAGTAGGCACAATATCAAACATAAGCAAACACTTTTGCACAAAAAAACCCTGCATGACACACATTTTCCTAAAATTTTGCTTAAATTAAACTAAATTAAAATTAAATTAAAATGATATTGTACTACTTGTTGTGAGAAACAAACAAATTCCATGGTATAGTCATTCTAATATTAAATAAATATCTGTTAGGGACACCTTAATGCAACATTGGGCAATATTGTACCCCCAGCACATCCCAACAAAAACTGAAAATAAAGAAATATTATTTATATTTTTTTTAAATGGCAAAAAATCTTGCAAGTTTGTCACGATTTGCAGGAGGTCTTAACAGTGTAATAACTGAGATAGCGTGACTTGAGATAAAACTGCCATTTAATTTTCTTATTTTTATGTTTTATGGATGCCACCACTATTGAACTGATCCAGTGCTGTCTGGAGGGGGCAGGTTAAAATGGGCAAAGTGACACATATGGTAGCACAATCCAAGCCCTGCCCCTTTTGTATGTCCATCAATGTTCCATGCAAGTACCAAGGGGCGGGGCTTCGATTGCCATACTGCATCCACTATCTTACCTATTTTGACACCAGCCCCCAATGGACATCACTGCATCAATCACTGCCCTAACATATTAATGGAGAGTTGCAAATCTATCCAAGTCCCTGATTATTCTGTTGCCTATAAATATATGGTGGAAACATCTAATTTTTTCATTTTTAAAAACTTTTCCAGGATTTATTAGCCAGGATCCAAAGAAGCCACGCAGAAGAGTCAGGATCCAAATTTTGCAGCTTTCTGCTTCTTACTGAATGTCAATATGGAATCTCTCTTGTACTTTCCAAGTAATGCAAGTGTGCGTTCATTTGTATAGGACCAGCTATTCTATTGTCTGGCTACAAAAAATTGAAATCTTGAATGAAGGGTTTAAGTCTAACCTTAACAAATCCAGTTCTCCAGAATGAGCTAGTATTTCCAATGATCCTATTCGAAACCATGATTTTGCAACACGTAAGACAATTGCACCTGAAAATAAATATATGTACAAGTTAATGCATTTAAAAAATGTCCTACATGTACTTCCTTGTGTATCCATAACTTCTTTGCATGAAGGCTTGCTCCATGGTGGGAGCAGAACTTCGCACAGTGGAATATATAAGAAAAAAATGTTCCCTTAATGGATAGAATTAGGAGGGTCCTTGCACTAAGAAGTGGTCTTTCAAGAAACTACTGCATCAGGTCAATGATAGCTATGATTTAGAATGGAGAAGTCTGATTTCCATTTCTGGAAGAAGCAATCCTACTGAAAGGGGATTAGTCAAACCTGTGGAGATCAGGCTTGCTCAGAACTATTAGTAACAATGCTACGAGGCAAGAAACTGCTGATTATCAGTGGGTGGAGCTACTTAAAAAGAGTTCTGGGTAATACACGTGAAAAGTATTTAAAAAACGGTGAAACCAGAAGAAAAATTGTCCAAGTATATGCAATGTTAAGCGAATGAATCAAAATACTTCAAGAGACCATATTAAAATACAAAATATAACAGTGCAAAGCTACAGCTGATCACATCTTGGCTGGTGAGTCAGATTAGGCTCATTTCTTGTTTCAAAAATAAAACTCAAACAACAAATAAAAGAAAAGGGAGAAAAGTAATGTCCCGAAAGTGGAGTGTTCTGCTTCTGAAAAGGGGCACTGCTCTTCCAGTTGCAAGGGCAGATTTTCAGCAGCAGACCATTCCCACAACTCATAATCCAATCAAAAGCATAACTAATGCATAGGTTCATGTCATCAAATTAGAAAGCACATTGGGAGCAGGTGGTCTGAGAAAAGTTAACTAAATGGCTCTAGTATTGTCAAAGAGCAATAAAAAAATACCTCTTTCTTTCTTAATATTCCCACTGTAGAACTGATCTCTCCAAATGTCATCATCGCTTACAACTAAGCTGTGGAAATGGAGGAGTTGAGGAGTTAGCACAGAACAGACTGAAAGAGGTCTGGAGCCCTGCTGGACAAAGTGAATTCACACTATATTTTAAGGGAAAAAAGAAAGGATAAATAAAACCAAACACAGATTAATAAACCTAATCTCACAAATATTGGGGATAAAAGACTGAGGAGTGACACGTACAATTATCAGGCTAGTAGGACTCACATTTTCTATCCCGTAATGGTCTTAGGCCCTAGGCAAGCCTGGTTTTTCTGTGGTTCAACTAGAAGTTACATAGCCTTCCTGCAAGTGTAAAAGAATAGCCTAGCTATGGAAGAGCCCCTAGTGGGCCTTGGTTCATCTCCAAAAGCTCAGCAGAGTAGAACCTAGTTAATTCTTAGATGGCAAAACCACCAGAAAATCCCTGGGCTGCAAGTTAGATTGGGAAATTTAAATATACATTGGGGAGGCTTGATGAATTTATTGGGTTTGTCATGGCAACTGTAGGTCAAGACTTCTCTGCTGTTTCCCAGTTTCCTGCTGCACTAAGGGGCCCAACATCCTTGCTTGGTTCTCAAAAGGGCTGGAACACACAATTCTCTGGAGAGACTTCTAACTGTGGGAAATTTTACTTCATTTTTAATATTCTTTATTTTAATCTTTTTTTACTGTGAACCACTAAGAGACTTCCATAATTGGCAAGGCATAAAGTTTAACAAGAAATAAATTTAACTCTTGGAACCACAATGTTTCCTGCCCAGGGTGAGAGGCTGCAGCAGGGTGAGACAGCACATTGTTGGGCACTGCATATTACAAGGGAGAACTATTATGCGAAGAGCAATTTTGGGAACGGGTGAATTTTATTTGAAAAAATGGCAGATGTGTGTTTGCATAATAATCATCTCCCTAAAATGCTGAGCAGGGAAATTGTTATGCACTCTTCACTTCTTCTCTGATCCAAATTATGCTGCCCTCAGAACTGCATTCCTGTAATACAGGTTGCCATTCAGACTTGATTGCTTGCCTTTACATGCAACATGCAGCCCTCTAATTTTCTGCATTTCCTGTGATAGCAATGATAGGAAGAGAACCATTTTGCTGTAATTCAATTATGTTCTCCCTGAGAGAGAAAATCAGTTCGTTCGGCATATGGACAGAAGGCCAGATGAATTGGATAGATACAGAGAAGCACACACTCTCTTGCAGAGGCACTCGTGTGTACCAAAAGAGCCCTCTTATTATTCAGTGAAGGGAAATGGAGAGACAATAAACCCTTGAGTGACTTCCCAGCCACGCATTGTGCAGCAGAAAAAAGCCACATGCCTTGTGATTCTCTGAGCATCTGCATAGAGAAACCAACCCAACATGTGATGTTGCTGAGGCTCAATAGTCTCCAGAATGATTTTCCATTACAGACGCACTACTCAATAGGTATGATATACAGGAAATATAACTGCTTTGTAAACATGTAATATGTAAGTTGAGTTTACCCAAATATTTATGGAATTTGTGGAACTGGCAGAGGTGTGAATAAGAAATTATTGATTATATTGAGAAATACAAAACAAGTTCATCATGAATTTAAGTAAACATAATTTCTCAGATTATCAAGATAATTTTTATAACTAAAGAATGCTGAGTATTAAGCTTCTCTTGTTTAAGGTCAAAGGGCTGATTGATGAGACATAAAATGTTGGAATTCAAGGTCAGAGGTTTATCAAGGCCCAAAGTATTCCTAGGAGGCTGTAGTAGGTGACCCACTTGGTGGGTGAAGCAATGATTAATCTGCTCTCTTCTTGGCTCACTGACTAGTCTCACCCTACTATATGAGATGACTCGCCCAGCTTCATGATATCTAAACGCACTACTGTCCCACTTCCTAATATTTTGTGAAAGATGCCAGTGTGTCCTGTATTTAAAAAAAAAATTAAAAAACAGTAACTCAGAATGCTTTAAAGTGAAGCATCCATCTCCAATAACCTGCCATCATTATTTCCCAGACAATGAACAAATCTTATGGGCTGGAAATGTGGAAGTGAGCTGGGGCTTCTTCAGGCTATGCTAATAAACTACCGCATAGGACTGTGAATCAGCTCTAGATCCCCAGCCTGAGGGCAACTTTTTTGTGTCATTTTGGCAACCACAAATCCATCACTTTGTGAATTCATAGAAAGTAAAATCAGGAATAGGCTCAGAGTTCCTGCATGGAGTTTTCTGTCAATCTCTTCTGCCAAGATTCAACAAGAACCACGTCAATGTGAATGAATTTTTACATGCTAGCTGGGGAATTCTGGGAATTGAAGTCTAGGCATCTTAAAGTTGCTGGAGTTAAGAAACACAGGCTTAGAAAATATGAACACAAGGATTATTTGCAGGGTAGGAAAAATGGACAGGGAGAAGGAGACTTAATCTTTCCTCCTCTCCCACCATCATCCCCAACACATACTTTGCCTAAGAACAACTCATCCCAGCCAAATCTGTTTTCAGTAGGAAGAATATAGCAGGGAAAAACATGGATTAAAAGTAGCTGAGAGGAGGAGAACATCTGCAAGGCAGAATTATCTAGTTGGGGGCTTGGGGTGAATATTAAACACTCCTTCTATTGATACCACAAACAGTAGTTGTTGACTTAGGTTATGTGTCATCATCCTGTTTCGAGATTCAGCATTTTGATGGAAAATATCACTGCAGCAACCAGCAAAAAGAGCTAACATAAAACAAATTATAAATACATTTCTGCAGCTTTCTCCTTTTCATTTTAGTGGAAGTCACAAAGTGTATGGTTGGGGGGGTGGACAGCCTTCTGGAGACTGGGGTTTGTGTTTAGTTTTTTGTAAAAGGGAGAGAGCCACAACAGGTGGGTGATAATGCAAACTGTGCCTGCATTGGGGGGGGGGATTTAATCACCCTAATAAGTGGAGTTAGGCTTTTCTTCTTTTTTGTCACGTGGTGGGGAGTTTTGAGGATTTTCTTTGCTTGTTTTGATAGTCTTAAGCACTACCCTTTTGTGTCTTCTAGCTAAAAATGGAGGAAATGGCATTGCCAATTTTCAGCAATCATGCTTCAGAAATTTGGCGGGTCAGGCAGAAAGAACTTCAGGGGGCACAAAAAGAGGGCTACTCACCTCTGTTCTATGCAGGTAAAGAATAAACCTGATAAAGTACCTAGCTGCCCTGCTTGTAGGAATTCCAAGGTAATGCATGGCTTCACTTCCCAAATATTCTCGTACAGAAGACCGAAGCACAGCTCTGCCATCGCCATTCCTATAGAAGGAAAAACAAGAAACATAAATGTTATCTTTTTTTGGTACTAGGAAAAAAAATACTTGGCAAATTCTTGCACTGGATGATTTGATTGGCACATTTTGCTATTTGTGGATATTGCACTTGTCCAAATGTTACTGACAGCTGAAACAAATTAAATATGTACTAAAATTCATATTTAAATACAGATTTGTTTGTAGACAACCAACAGTGGTGGCTTTTTTGTGGAGAGGGAGACATAATTCTTTCTTAAAGATATGGATCAACATAGAAAGTGAATGGAAAAAAAGGGCAACATAGGAATCGGTATTGGGCTGAGTCTAACACTGCTTCATCGTCTTTGACAGTGTTCCAAGTGGGAGTTTTCTGACTCCTCTCTGGAGATGCCAAGGATTGGACTTGTGGCCTTTTGCATGCAAAGTATGTGTTCAACTGGAGAATGACAGCCACTGCCAAATATAACATGACAAACCCAGAAACCCATAATTTTGTGATACAATGCTAAAAGGGCCATGTATAAGTGGCAATGCTTCACTAGAAAGCAGAACTAAAGAATCACACTGCTGAAAATCCAACACATGCTCAAGTGAGCATTCCGCATAATTTAAAAAAGACTACATCACAAACTGAGAATAGAAACACGTAACAATATAGCTATGTAGATATTACATATTCCCTGAGACATTCTATGGAAGTAAATGGTGGACTTTGAAGAAGCAAGATAGAAAGAGTATTGATGCTTTTAATCTCTGGAGAAGACTCCTGAGAATACCATTGACAACCAAGAAAACAAACAAATGGATCATCAAACAAATCAACCCAGAGTTCTTGCTCAAGGTACAAATGACAAGGCTCAAATTATCCTACTTTGGACGCATTATGCGAAGACCTAGCTCTCTGGAGAAAGCTCTAATGCTGGGAAAGGTGGAAGGAAAGAGAAGAGGATGACCAGGAACAAGATGGATGGACTCAGTTACAGTGGTGATGGGGGCGCTATTGGAAGAGCTGAAGGACCAGGTTAGGGACAGATCATGGAGAAAATCTATGTATGTGATTGCTAAGGGACGTCAATGACTTGATGCCACATAATCTATCAATCAATCAATCAATCAATCAATCAATCAATCAAAATACTACATAATTTGTATCTGTGGTTTTTTTGGAATTAGATTTATCCCACTCAGTCAGGGATCAACCTTGGCATTTCCCAATTAAAACCTCCCATGGTTATTTCTATCTTGTTCTTTTTAAAGAGCCATATTGTTAATGTTATAAAAACATATTATAAAATTCTACAGCATCTTATAATTCAAACTTATGGGTAATACATGCTACCTGAAGAAAGCAGAGATTAATCTGCAAACAGATTGGTTTTCTGGATGGTCCTTAATGGTGAGTTATTGAAATAAAAGGTTTTTATATAAAGAATAGTTTTAAAAACTGGGTTTGTCTAAAGAAGTGAAGGGAAGACATGATAGAAGTCTTCAAACACTCAAAGAGAAAAAGATGTGGATTTATTCTCCACAGTGCCTGAGGGTAGAACAAGAACCAAAAGGTGGAAGCTTTACCAAGGGAGATTCAGCCTTGAAATAGGGAGGTATTTCTTGTCCACGAAAGGTATAAGCAGCAGAACCGCTTGCCTCCTTGAGTCATGGGTGCTCAAAGGCTGTATAGTCATTCTCTAGGATAGTATGAGGATTCCTGCTCTGGGCAGGGGGTTGGACTCCAAAGTCTCTTCCAACCTTAAGATTCTATGATGCACTGTAGAAATTAATCCAAAACACATCAAGAACTGAAAGAATATCACACCAAAGATGTAACACACCTAAAGTATGGTGTCCTTCCTGAACCTTTGAGCTGCAGTTCCCATCTGGATCCAAATCTACAGAAAGATTAAACATTAGCAATGTGGATAACTGCAGAACAGAATGGAATAGCTTGTGCCAAAATATTACTAATTCAAATCTTGTTTATACAATGAATCCTCAACCCAATCTGTAATGTGAGGGAAATAATATGTATGCATTTTGTAGTAGATGAAAGGATTACCAAAACAATACATGTGAAATACTTGGGAGTTTTGAAAGCTGTTATTATGTACTAAGTCTGGTTAGTACTACTATCGTTGTTGGTCATTGATACTTTACTTTCTGAGATAGCAATAGCAACCACATAAGGTAGTCCCCAGGTTAAGAACACCTGGGTTACAGCCAACCCATAGTTAAGAATGGAGCCTACTGCAGCAAAATTTGAGTTAAATACACAGTGGTTCGAGTTCATTGCACAATAATACTTATACAGTATTATACAATAATATTGTTTCAGCTTACATACAAATTCAACTTAAGGACAACCTTGGGGACAGAACTCGTTCTTAAACTGGGGACTATCTGTACTGAATAGAGACAGGCTTCTTAAGATGAAGTATGCAGTACCTGTTAGTATAAATGCCGATCAAGTGGGCTCTTCCATCACCCAGCTGTCCTGCCCAGCTACCAAACTAACATGGGAAGTTGAGATAAAAATATGAAATAATTATTTGCCATTCAGAAATGTAGTTGTAATTGGGATTCAACACGATTGAATAAACAATGTTCTCTGTATATTTTACTAGTGATTTCAACAGATACAGCAATAATTTGGTACAATGCTAACAAAGTTCTATTCTATTCTATTGATTGTGAAATATAGAAAATTATTGGACCTCATGATATATTTGCATCAGTAGGGCACAGGAACTGGAACTCAGCAAGATAGGTTCTCTTTATCTAGTTCTAGGACTTGTGTAGAGAACAAATTGTGTTTTAGGTCGTATTTATGCACAAATATTGAAAATTCAAAAGGACTCACAAACTTTTAAGCACTTTTAAGCACTCTTTAACAGATTTCAACCACAACTGAAAAAAATTCTAGACCCATAAGAGATGGAAATTGCTATTCATTAAAAATGCAGGCTATTTTTCTTTGGAATTAATGGGTATATTGGAAACTAAATTTCCTAGCACATGATTGTATTATATTCATTTTCTAAACCAATTAGCCTCATAACAAGAAGCTAGAATGGTTCTATATCTACAATCTAAACTAAGCTTGATGGGAGGGGATGGTAAGAGCAAATAAAACAGTTCAATGAATAAAGCTCTTACCTATTACAGTGGGTGATCTTTCTAAAGCAGGGGAGAATGATTATAAACCAGCCTCTGAATGAAGGAAGTGTTTTGGACTAGGCCAAACATACATATTTTGCCACCAACTGAAAACAAAAATGTAGCCTTTGGAGCCATGAGGAGCTATTCTGTTTTCCAACTACTGTACAGTAGTCAGCTGACTGGCCAGATCAAGTGGGGAGAAGCTAGATTGTTGATTTCTCATTATAAAGGGAGCTATGATTTGCATTCAATTCAGCAGTACTGGAAAGAAGAGAAATGATGAAAGGCTGCAAGTGTGTTTATGTGTGTGTGAGAGAAAGTGTATTGTGTCTATGTGCAGTACCTGATGCTGAAAATGTTGTTCACCCATAAAATACAGGACAACAATCTTGAAGGAAGCTAAAAAGGAGAAAAAATGGAAGTGGACATAAACCACAATTGGCCAACACTATTCCCATCTCTGTGCTTCAGCATTTGGATTATTTGACTGATTTACAAAAGAATGGTAATGAGTGACTGGTGAATAACTAGTGTGAGTTGTATGTCATGCAGAGCACACAGCCCCCCCCCGCCCCCAGTATTTTATGGATTGTATCAGTTTTAGCATGTAAAACCTAAGAGGAATTCCTTTTGTAAAGCTGGAAAAAACACACATGTGTAAGAACATTAAGCAAAAACATTGATAACATCAGGTTGAAAAACAAGTAGTATGACTGACCTGATGGCCACCATATCTGTGGGTTAGCGGTGGAGATCCCAAGATTATTTTTGAACCACTGACAAGGTGTAGAAAATCATCTGAGTCTGAGACAGACATGTCCAAGTCCAGAATATCTTCCAGGACTTCCTGAAGTGCAAGGGGTATATCAATCCATTAAAATAATTAAGACGTAAAAGAAAGTTTCACATTGTTAGCTGTCCAAAGCTATCTATATAATTTTTAATTGAAATTCACATCTTAGAGCTTCTGAGTACCCCTACCTGTTATCCACACAATGCTTGTACTATTATCCAGATTAACAGAATTTAGTATTTTAAACTGAGGTACAGCTGTTGCTGAACTTCAATTCACAGCAGCCAGAATTGAAGGGTGGAGGACTTGTAGTTCAAGAAGAGGTGCAGAATTACAGCCTTCCTAACCCTATTTCCAAGGAACATTAGTAGTTTTTGGTCACTATATTTTGTCAAGTTCCAGATCAGGCACAGCTATAAATATCTTATTCTTATGGAAACTCAGCCCATATTCAGGAACAAGCAGAAAGATCAGGGACTTGATAATGCTAGGTAATCTGCTTTATTATAAACAAGAAAGAAGTCATACATATGCAGAAGATCAACCTGCTGCAGAACACAGAAATCAAGTGATATATCTGTGTCAATGTAAAGGTTTAAAGCCTCTTCTTCTCCTTTCGAGTTAACAGATTCTTAGCTGTTCTTTTCCCAGCCTTCATGTTGGAATGGATTTGTTAAGTATGTACCCAACAGCTTTCTCTGGTTGGAACAGTGCTAATTCCTACCTTGCCAGCTTCAGCCCCTACACATTTAGGCCCCCAAAGGGGATGCCATTCCATTTAGTCTGTGGAAATCACTATAAAGTACAGATGTCCAATTTAGTGGTCCTGAACAATTCATTTTAATTAGGTAATTCTCAAGCACTATACACACAAAAAGCTAAATAATGGTTTATGAAAGTGGAACTTCATCTCATGTTTTCAGTTTAATACTGGCCAAAGATACAATTGCTATTCATCTTTCAAATCAGCTGTCTTCCTGGCTATGTTAAATATATTACTGAAGATTCATGTGTAATTCTCCCTCATACCTTCATATTGTGGTTCTGGATCCTATTCATAATCACAGGTAAAACTGATGTCCTAACAGTGTTTGAAGAGATTGGGAGTATTTTCTCAGCTCAAACATTCTATTTGCTCACCCTCTTATAGGCAATTCCTTGCACAATTTCATCTTTGGATCCAAGTTGCTAATTAGTGTTACATCTTTGCAATATCTGCAGTAATAATGACAAATCTGTTTCTAACACTAGTGGTAAATGATCATTTGGTGCTAATTGATGTTCAGAATGACAGGGCAGATGTAATGCTAACCAAAATGGGCTCAAAAACCAGAAAGGGTTAAAAAATATGTATGAAGTATGAAGATAGAGTATTAAAGCTGAGGGATCTCTGGTATAGGGTTTTTCAAATTGTGTTCTGTAAAATCATAGGGTTCTGCAAGAACCTGATGGAGTTCCATGATTGATTAAAAGGAGAAAAAGTTCACTTGAATGCAGTCAATTTTTTATTACTAGAGCTTTGCCTCTTGATCAGGGATTCTATATTTTTTTTTAAACAAGTTCCATGGCCCAAAAAGGTTGAAGAACCTGCTCCAGTAGAATTAATACTAGGTTTAGATACTATTAACTAAAGCACTATTTTTCAAACTTGGCAACTTTAAGATGTGTGGACTTCAACTGCTGGCTGGAGAATTCTGGGAGTTGAAGTCCACTCATCTTAAAGTTGCCAAGGTTGAAAAACACTAAATTAAGAGTTAGAACATTTAGACATATAGCTCATATGGCAGCCTTGGGATGTTGTTTTGAAAATAAAAAGGAAAGGGAATGTCTATATGAAGGTAGAAAAGATTGAGTGCTAGGACCAAGCAGAATAATGTAGCCCACATAGTTTCCTAGTTCAGATTTATTTTCTGACATTTCCAAATAGAGCTGAAAAAAACATCCCATCTAAAACCTCGATAGTTACCAGGCAATAGACCATGAGCGAGCAGCCATTTTGTAGCTAAGGGTCATGCTTAATATATTTTTGGAGCATAAGCAGTACAGTAGGCAAGACAATGACACAAAGTTGGCAAGGCCATATCACATAAATGGGCATGATTTCCTATATTTTCCTTACATTTGGTGGAGAAAAAATGGGGTTTTCTTTCTTATTATATAAAAAAAACAATATTTATAAAACAGATTACATCTGTTCAAGAGGTTACACTCCTTGCCTCAAAATTGTGAGAAACTGTGCCAGCGATTTTTAGAGCCTTGCCTGAGAGGATGCTCTGGAGACAAGAGCGATCATAATGCACCAATCGTCTTAGTATAAGGCACTTGCTTGTTTCGGTGATTTCCTACCCCTGAATATGGAATTATGCACTTCAGTCTTTTTGTATCCTGGATGACAAGGAGAATATCCACTGATGCTCAGGTGGTGGAATGAGTGAAGAAGTAAAAGAAGTCTATTGCAAGCTAGATGACAATATAACAGCATATTTATGTAGGTTATATGCTGATAGATTCCTCACACAGACACATAGCTCCAGAGTAGAACAGCAGTTTGTGTTAAAGAAAATTATTCCTAACCTCTGAAACAGCTACAAGTAGAACTCTCGATTTAAATGGTGTAGGGAATCCAACAGAAAAAATACAATCTTGAACCTCACGAACATAATTTTCTTGAATATGATCAATGGGAAGTGTAGCTAGAGGGAAAAAGCAAATTAATTTCACGTAGAATTCCAAAGAGGTAGCAATGTTCATCTTTTGCAGCAAAAACAGCAAATTTTTGACCATGAATTACAAAGCCACAGTCAGCAATACTTTTACTAAGGCATACTGAAGTGTCACAGAGGGGCATACAAACTTTAAAAATTTTCAGCCTGATACCCACAGATGTTCACAGGAAACCTCTTTTTGCTTAATTTTAATGTTTGATAGATTGTTTTAAATAAAAATAAGAATTAAAATGTGAAACTGTTGCACTGCAAAATAAAACATTTTCCCCAGCATTATCTGGGTTACAGGATTGTATGGATGCTCCACACAGGCCCAATAGGCAATTTTAGAAAGTAAAAATAGTGGAGGGGCATTCGCCTGCTCTGAAAAGGTGTACAAAAGAAAAAACTAGAGCATCTGAAGTCAAATAGCAATCCCACCAGTTTCTTTGTGTTTGTGACTTGTTGCTTCTACAATGGCAGACATTTTTTGACCAATCAAATTCCCCCAAGACAGGCATCTTGTACAAACATTCACAACAATTGTACTCAGCATTCCAAATACACCCATCAATCCAATAAAATGGTCTGCCTTAGGTTAGATTGTGTAAAAAATAAAGTCAACAATGTAAGAAAAACACGAAACTTTTTCCATAAATGAAAGATATCAGGGTATGTCCAAGGCTACAGTAAAAGAGATATTCCTGAAAAACAGTATGGGTTTCAATTGTAATAATAAATAAAGGCAGGCTAATAAGCCAAGCTAAAATTCATGTTTAATTTCCACTGAAATAGACTGAGTAAGTTAATTGGTCCTGTTTCTTAAGGACAGCTTTCTCTAGATAGGGATTACTGTGGAACAACAAGGCAAGTTGTTCATCCAGATAAAGCCCCTTTATAGATGATTCTTTCCAACAATAATATGTACATATTGTCAAAGATTATATACATACCTGTGAACGTTTCTGTTGAAAGTTTCCATTCATTCAAAGTAGATAATTTCAGTTTCTTTTCACAATAATCTTGATCCAAGTTGGATGTATTAATGTAATTATGCACATGGTTAAAACTACTTGCAGCAATCGTGTCGATGAGGTAGGATCCAGAATGATATACCAATGTTAACAATGAGAACCACCATAAAACTATCCAGCAGCTTGACATACTGAATCTCGTAACTTTTCTTAAACCAGAATCAATTCTGCAGAGAAGCAAATGTGATATTCATGAGACAAGATTTTATCTCTGAACCTTCACCTTTATAAAAACAACTTCCATGCAGTTTTAGGTTAACACAGATTGGCAAACAGCAATTCCATTTTTTCTATTCATTTTTTTTCCAAGAAAAAACTGTTAAAATATTATTTTGTTTTAAAGATCATATTAGAATCAATCCATTAGGAAGACTATTATCTGTGCAAAAATGGAAAGATTCTGAAATATCCATAACAGAGGAATGGTTGGTGAAAATGACAGAACTAGCAGAGATGGTAAAATTAACTTGTTTGATTAGAGAAAAATCAACATTTATCAGTGACTGGAAACCCCTTATGGACTTTTTGCTGAAAAAAGGGAAAAATGAACTTGTGATTTATGGGTTTGAAGATTAGAAAAGGGTACCTTATAGAAAGAAGGAAATTGTGATATAACCTTAGAGAGAGAGGGTAAAATATAAATGCATTTATAACCACTGTCAAAAAGATTAGAAGCCACTTCTCTATCATCTTTTCTTTTTCTTTTTTCTTTGTTTTCTTTTTCTATTTTCTTTCTTACTTATTCACTATTGTTCCTTATTTTCTTCATTTCTTTTCTAATATTTGTATTGTTTTTATCTTGTTAAAAATTTCTTAAATAAAAATATTAAAAAAAAAAGAATCAGTCCATTAGGGACTTCAATTAAGCTTTATCTAAATCAGATATGGGAAACCCACAGACTGTATAGGAGTACCAGCCTATTTTTGTAGCCCTTCAAGTATTTCCAGGTTATGCCACTGAAATTAGGTAGCAAAACTACTGATTTCTGGTACTGCAGTTTTTTTGCCCTTTTTTTGCTAAAACAAAAATATCAGTTAAGTAGTCATGAAGCTTAACACCTCTATTTTAGTCTTTTATTTTCCTTCCTGACCAATCAATTATTCTCATTAAATCAATTATTCCAACTTTCTGATATCCTCACAAAGGGCACTGTTGACCAAATTCAGGTGGTCCTCACTTAACAACTGCTTGTTCAGTGACCAAACTTACGATGGCGCTGAATGAATGGTACTTACAACCAGTCCTTGAAGTTCCGGCCGTCGCAGCATCCCCCTAGTCACATGATTCTGATCCAGGCACTCAGTGATTGGCTCAAAACAACACTGCAGTGTCCTGCGGTCATGTGATTGCCATTTGCAACCTTCACTGCCAACCTGCAACAAGCAAAGTCAATAGGGAAGCTGGCAGGAGGTCACAAATAGCAACCACATGACATTGCCCTTACCAATGGCATGGGATTTGCCGGAACTGCTGTCACTAAGTGGCATGGTCATGTGACATCATGCTTTACAACTGCGTCGCTTAGTGACAGAAATTCCAATCCCAATTACTGTCGTTAACCAAGGACTACCTGTAGTTTCATAGTGAGACAGAATGTCCCTTAGATAACCAGGGTGAAGTCATTTAGTGAAGTCATACCAAAGTTAAAATCAGCATCTTGAAAGGAATCCAGAACATGAGTGCAGATTTTTTTATAGAACTGCCCAATTTCCATATGGTAATATGATTTTGATACCAGGTACCAGTTCTGGGTTTCCTTCAATTGATAACTCAGGATGCTATTCAGTGGTAAATACAGCCAAAACATGATGTAGCCACTGCAAGTAATACCAATTTAGGAAAGGTTGCCACTGGTGGATAAAATGTAACTGTTTGCACATGTACTCCATTCCACCATTGCCATCTGGAAATCCACAGTTAGTACATGATCATGATTATTTGACTATTTTGGGAGAAAGCAGACCTCTCTGGAATATTTATATTTTATTTATTTATATTTCAAATTTGGTCACCGCCCATCTCACTAGGAAGTGACTCTGAGCGGTTTACAGTAAAAACAAAAAATAAATATTAATTAAAATACAGTAAAAATAGAATAAAAATACAATAAAAACTATATTCATACATAAATAATATCTTCCAAGGTGCTGCTGGTAGAAAGGACATTAACATATAGGAGCATCTTCAAGGTGCTAGCTACCCCAAGGGTTGGTTGCCCCTTTTCTCACCCCATGCAAGTTGGTAGAGGTTGTATGATAGTTTCCCAGCACCATTGTTTGAATGGGATAGGACAGACAGGATGAAAATCACTACCATACAACCCTAACCCCCAAGACTCAATATTGCTAGGTAATCTACAAGGATTCCAGAGTCAATGATAATGAAAATGAGGAACAAGTCCAAAAGTACTAACAGAACAGCATTTCCTCCTTTAATTTCCAAGGCAGGACATTCCATCAGTGGTCATAGTCTCAAGCTTTTATCCTGTACAAGACCAAACTGTAATAGCTCAGATTAATCAGCAGCAGCCAGTAGATCTGAGTTTACAAGGTTGTCATTTTGCTATCATCTTGCTCATATGTCTGAGACTGGCCAATGATTGTTTAATTCTATTACCTCCTGTATACAAGATGGAAGATATTGGGTAAGAAATTGGTCTGTTGAGTAGATACTGTAATTATACGTAAGATACTAGTCAGATGGCATGTAGAATATTACAACTAGTTCTGGGCACCACATTTTAGAAAGGAGATTGACAACCCAGAGGAGATCAACCAAGATGATATGGGTGTAATGGAAGGCTTGAGTGAGGAAGATACTGGAATGGAGGATCAAGGTTATCAGAAGGGAGGGGGAACATTCCAGAGCAAGCGCTTTCTCAGTCCGCAGCAAGAATGCGGGAAGAGGAAGAAGATGACGCTAGTCCCTCCCTAGAGTCTCAGGGAGGCTAGAATCTGGCAAGATTCTATTAGGTGCAAGCTAATAAAGGAACTGGACTGGACTGGATTGCCTTGTTGTTGTTCTTGGGCTCAACCTGACAATGGGGCATGGAAGGAAAAACTTATGAGAAATAGTCAGAGGTGCTGAATAAGTTTAACCCAAACGAGAAGAATGGAGACATGCTTTATGTCTTCAAGTATCTGAAGGGCTATTGTGTAGAAGATGGGGTAAAACTGTACAGGACACAGGACAAGAAATGCTGGATTTAAACTATAAGGAAGTTATTTTCAGTTGGATAATGGGAAAAAAGTTCTAATAGAAGAACTGTTGAACAGAGTGCCAGCAGAACAGTAGAAGAGATGATGGACTCTCCTCTGCTGGAGATGTTTAAATAGGGACTAGATGGTTATCTGTTGGAGATGCTGTAATAGTAGATTCCTGCACTTAGACAAAGGACTGGACTAGATGATCTCCAAGGCCATTTCCAGCTTTACATTCTATGATTCTATGATTCAGTTAAGCCAAAGTTTGTTTCGTTTTTTATTGTGTTATGTTGACCTGCTTGCTGCAGTTTGTAAACCATAACTTAGAGTAGGGATAGGCAACCCTTTGGGGATATGCAAGGACCATAATGAGCAGGGTGATGATGCAAAGTGGTGTGCTTGAGCCAACTATGTGGGCAGGGTCAGGATATTCTGCTCCCCCCTCCCCACTCTGGGTACTGAGTAGAATTCTGAACCATTTCTTTGTTTTAACTATGTTTATTTATTTTATTTATATATCAAATTTGTTGCCTATGTTAAGACTATTTTAGAGATACTTATGATAGGTTTTAAGGGTTACCTGGCTCAAAGTGATGATAAACTGCAGGTGCTGAAGGTTTTTGACAACTATAATGGGAGGGGGCTCCAGAAGCCAAATGCTGGCCTGAGGCTTCAAGTTGCCCACACATGGCTAATAGTGTTGTATAGACCAATTAACTGTGCTTTATTTAGCAAATCATATCTTCAGCCAACTATGTCTTTCAAACTATGTGTGCAACTGAACACTCTGTTTGAAGCAGAATTATCTCTTTGGGATGCAGTGCTAAATTGTGGCTTAGTGTTCCATGAATGAGCTTCTGATTCTTCAAGTGCTCACTACCCTTCTCCTCCAACACAGCTTCAAGGACATTGAAAGTTTTGGGATACAGTTTAGCATTATGCTGAAATCACAAAAAATGCTACAGTTTTTCTAATTTTGTTGGATGCTAAAAAGGTTTTTGATATGGTTTTTTCTAAGAAGTTATGGTATCATTCAACATCTTTTGTTCAATAGTACAGATATTCCTTGTTTAACAACCATTTGTTCAGCGACTGTTTGAAGTTACGACGGCACTGAACAAAGGGACTTACAACCAGTCCTTGAAGTTCTGGCTGTCACAGTGTCCCCACAGTCATGTGAACAAAATTTGGGCCCATCTGCATTTATGACTGCCCCTCCCAGTGCTGCCACCCCCCCAACAGCTGACCTTTGTTGTCATCTTCACCTGCCTCCCTTCTGCAGGGCTCACCTTCCTGGCCATGTGTGGTGGAGACACTATGGAAATGTCCCGCAGGCCAGGTCGGTGTGTGCTGCACCGCGTGCCACTACTGGCCAGATCCTTCTTTTGCACACCAGCTGGGCCTCCTTTTGCAAAAGAAAGACCCAGCTGCCGCACAAAAGAAGCCCAGCACAAAAGGACCCGGCTGGCACATGAAAGGAGGTCCTGACCAGCATGCAAAAGAAAGCCCTGGCCAGTAGTGGCACATGGTGCAGTGGGCATAGTGCAATGGGCAGGGCCAGGTGGCAGCGCAGCTGGTGGCGGTGGGTGGCCAAAAGGGCAGAGATGGGGGAGGTAGGTGGATGGGGGGAGCTGAAGTGGAGGCAGTCCCTTTCCTTCTTCCAAGAATGGCTTGGATCTGGGTGGGTCCTCACCTAACAACTGTATGGGATTCACCCGACAACAGCAACCTGGAACTGCCATCACTAAGCGAAGCGATCATGTGACATTTCACTTAATGACTGCATTGCTTAGCGACACAGTTGTTAAGGGTTAGGGTTGTTAAGTGAGGACTATCTGTATCTTCATCCAGGGGCTAGAGTTATTATGAATTGATTTGTCTCTCAATCTATTAAGTTATATAGTGACACCCAAAGATGCTCTTGGGCAGCCATATACATTGTTTAAAATCAATCAATCAATCTTCAAAGTGGTTCTGAACGATTGCCTTCTTCTATTAGACAGTCACAAGGTGTTAAGCATGTGGTGGCACATGATACCAAATTTAATTTGTTCTTACATGCTAATGTTATTATGGATATATTTGATAATTATGCAATGTCATTACCAAAGCTTATTGAAGTTATACAGCAACATGGATGGACATTTGATTTTTTGTACTAATACTATAACAAATTTGAAGGTTCTTTAACTGATTATCTGATCATGTCCCGTTATAGCCTTTGTTGGGTTTCAAATCGTAACATATGTCAATACAATTTTGGGAAGAAATATTGTAGCTTATAGCTAATCTTAATGTCATGTTGAACTATATTCCAAAAATACGGAATCTGTCATCTCATGAAGAGCTTTGGCTCTGTCAAGCCTGCAACATGGCAAAGAGGATAGTTTTATGTAAATGGAAGGAAACTTACCCTCCTGATTATAAGGATCAGATCCAGGATAGGTATCTGTTAACTATCTTTGAAGTCTCTGTGTTCTAAAAATGAGAAGATGAAGCAATATGTTTCTATATGGTCTACATTTAATGATAACTTTGAATTAATTTTATACTGTTATCAATAGTTATTATATGGATCTTTTCTCTCCTTTTTCTTTTAAATTTCCCCCCCTTGTTTGTCATGTTTATTTTAATCATCCTAATATATCCATGTTTTTTCCCTCATTGTATAAACATTTATCTTTTTTTTTTCTGTTGGTACAGTACTTTTTGGATTTCACTATTAAAATAAATACCTCCATCTCAAGATCCAGTCTTAATTGCAGATCTTATGGCTAAATATTTGGCCTCATTTTTGGAGCTTGCTTCATCCCATCTCCTTCCTCTTTTTTCCATCAGCAGCTGTAAGAATTTCAGACAGTTCAAAAGCTTTAACATTCCTCTTCCTCTTTTTGACTGGCCATAATAAATGCAGTACCTACCTACGGATCTAGGACTTCCTTCTTCCATGGCCCAGCACAGCATTGACGAGGTATGTTTCTGTTCAGAGGGTAATTCCAATGAAAGATGCAATGATCACGGCCTACACCAGCGTTTCTCAACCTCAGCAACTTTAAGAGGCGTGGACTTCGACTCCCAGAATTCTGGGAGGCTGGCTGGGGAATTCTGGGAGTCGAAGTCCACGCATCTCAAAGTTGCTGAGGTTAAGAAACACTGGCCTACACTATTAAAAGTGGTATCACCATTAAAAGACCCCAAAGAGGGGCTGCAGCCATTCTTGTGACACAATCCTCCTACCCATCGTTTCTCAAACCGAATTCAGTCAGACTTACTCTTTCCCACCCCTCTAACACAAATCCTAAGCGGGGTGCGACACTTTGTACAGAAGAAGGCGACTCTATTCACACGACTGTACGCCGGACCAGCCCCTCAGCCAGAGCAGGGAGCGACGGCTCCGTCTCGCGCCTGACCACCGCTTCCCCCCTCTCTTTGCTCCACCCCACCGCTCCCTCGCCTCTCTGAAGCGTTTCCTAGGCGGCGCTCCGGAGGCGGCGTTGCCAGCCGGCCTCTCGTCTTACCTACGTCGCCCTGGGCCGGCGTTTCCGCGTCCGGGTCGCCGCCGCACG